CTTCTGGACCCCCCGGGGGCCGGGGAGGAGCAGCAGCAGCAGCACCTGGACGCCAGCGTGCCCTGCCGCATCTGGCATCTGGACACCAGCAGCGACTGGTGGGAACACATCGTCCTGGAGCACTGGGGAGACCAACAATGGTCCCAGAACTTCAGGATGAAGAAGGACACCTTCCTGGAGCTCTGCGAGTGGCTCGCCCCCGCTCTGTGGCAATGGGACAAGCACATGAGGCCAACCATTCTCCTCCACAAGCATGTGGCCATCACCCTCTGGAAGCTCTCCACGCCGGATAGCTACTGATCTGTGGCGAACCAGTTCGGCATGGGGAGATCCACCATTGGAGCAGTGCTCATGCAGGTATGGCAATCTCTGGCCACTGTGTCTGGGGCGGGGCGCAAGGAGGGGATAGGCTGCCCTAGGGAAAAGGAGGGGAGGGGTTGCAAGTCCCCTCCCCGGGAGAGTTTGTTCTGTCCCAGCCACGCTATGGACTGCCCACAGTGGCCAGGATTGCAGGGAGGAGGGGTGGCTCCTGGGGAGTGAGGGTTTGGGGCAGTGGTGGGGAAGAGCACTCTCAGCCACCCTGGCACCCCAGTGACTCTCGGTTTCATGTATCCCTCTGCAGGTGGTCAAGGTCATCAATAGAGTGCTGCTCTGCAGAGTCATCTGCCTCACTGATTTGGACGCAGTCATCGAGGGGTTTGGCGCCCTGGGCTTCCCCAGCTGCGGGGGGGGGGGGAATCAAAGGGGAACACCAGGCTTCCCTGTACATCAACCAGAAGGGATACTTCTCGGTCATCCTGCAGACTGTGTCTGACCATTGGGGCCAGTTTGTGGACATCAGCGTGGGCTGGTCTGTCAAAGCACATGACGTGCAGGTTTACTGCAACTCCTCCGTGTGCCAAAGGCTGCACGCCGGGACTTTCTTCCCCGACGGCCACATCAGGGTTGGGAACGTGGACATGCTTGTGTGCCTGGTGGGGGATGTAGCCTATCCCCTACAACTCTGGCTCCTGAAGCCCTACACGGGACACCTCAACCCCTCCAGACAGACCTTTAATGCCAAGCTGAGCAGGGCCCGCATCGTTGTGGAGGGGGCGTTTGGCTAGTTGAAGGCCTGTTTTAGATGCCTCCTCACCTGCCTGGACCTATCTGAGCGGAATATTCTGCACGTGGCGGAAGCATGTTGTGTGCTGCATAATTTGTGCGAAAGGAAGGGGGAGGCTTTCCTGCCAGCCTGGATGGCAGAGGCCGACTACTTGGCTGGCCTCTATATGAAGCCCCGTATGGCTGCCAGCCGGGAGGCCCATCGGGGGGCTGTCCGTATCCGGGAGGCCCTGCGGGAGAGCTTCCACCCGGAGAAGGAGTGAAGTCTCCCTGGTGTGCCCCAGTGGGGCCTCATGCCTTATTCCACCCTCACGTCCTTCCCCTTTCCCCTCCCTAACCCCCCTTTCTGATGTAAAATAAAAACACATGTGTTGCCAAAAACAAACTCTCTCATAACTGGGTTGAGGGGGGGAAAAGGGTGGGAGAGGGGAGGGGGAAACCTGGGAGGAGGGAGCTGGAAGGGGGAGGAGAGGAGAGGAGAAGCTCAATGTTGGGGTTCTTGCTGGTCCACCTGTCTCCCAGCACTGTGGGTGCGCGGGCCTTGGAGTCCCTGGGGAGAGCAGATATGGAGGATGAATGGGTGGGGAGGGGGGAACAAAGAAGTAGGAGGGGGAGCAGGAGTGAGAGGAGGAGCGAGAGCTGGGGTGGCCACAGGGGCTGGAGCGGCAGCAGGCAGCAATCTCTGCACCAGGGTCTGCAGATGGTTGCGGATGGCACGGCCCTGGTCAAGCAGCACCTGCAAGCTCTCCCGCTGCAGCTGCAGGTTTTCGTGCACCCAGTGCTCCTTGCTGTGGACCTGCCTTCGCAGTAACCCCAGGTGCTGCCACTGGTATTCCTCTTGGTTCTGGGTGAGTCTGCTGGCCCGGGTGCGGGAGGCTGTCCTGGGCGGGGTGGTGCACCCTGTACTCGCAGCTACTGCGGCTGTGGAGAAGTGATCAGTTATCCCTGGGGACACAGTGGGTGAAGCCCAGCCCCCCTCTGCAAGGCGAGGCCTCCTGTGCTGTATATAGTGTGGGTGTAGGGGGGAGGAAGGGGTGATGTCCCCTGCCTCTGCATAGAGGGGGCTTCTGGAGGGAGGGCATCGTGCAATGTCCCTCCCTGGGGTCAGGAGCATGTTATGTGCCTTCATACATACATGTGTGTGGGTAACAGGCCAGGGCCCCTGTGTGGCAGCCAGCCAGGGCCACATGCGCAGGGTGGTACGGCACATGCACAGGTTGCTGCATGTTCTGTGGTCAGCAGGGCCCACACGCATAATCCTTGGGTTCCCTCCCGCCCCCTGCCCCTTATAAGGGGATAGTGATGGCACTCATATGTCGAGGCCTCCCTGGCCTCGGATGACACTGGCGACAGGCTTGCTGGGACGGCTCGGGGGTCCTGGGTGCGGGGCATGCTCCCTCCAGGCTTCTGTCCTCCTTCTCCTCCTCCTCCTCGGTGTCATGGGCAGGGCCCTCTGCCCCAGGGTCAATGACCACCTGAGGGGCACGAACCATCTGACTCCCCAGGATGCGGTCCAGGTCATCATAATAGGGGCAGGGATCTGGGTCAGCCCCTGGTTGGGAGCTGCTCCCTGAGGCTCTGGCATAGGCCTGCTGCAGCTCTTTTATTTTCATGCACACCTGCTCCTGGGTGCACATGTGGCCTTTGGTGACCAGACTGTCAGCCATCCACCTGTAGACGGCCGCATTCCTGTGTTTAGTGTGGAGATCGTGGACATTGGAGGCCTCCCCCCAAACCTCAATGAGGTCCACGATCTCTGCACTAGACCAGGAAGGCGCCCACCTTTTGTGGCCCCTGGCAGGCTCCTGGGAGCTGCCAGATTGCTCCTGAGAAGTGATGGAGGGCTGGGTGCCACTGGGTTGCTGGCTCATGCTGGGCAAGGTACACACCGGCAGACCTGGCTCTGGCACGTGCCCAGTGGCCAGAGTCTACTCCTTTAAGGGCCCTGGGACTGGGGGAGAGCAGAAGGGTTTTCCTGGTTGTGCCCAGAACCGGAGTTTTTCCGGGATACTTCCCAGAAAAACCCTGTAGTCTAGACAGACTCTCTCTTTCACCTCTGCTGAGAGGGAACTCGATAACAGTTTCAAGTACATACAATGTTACAAGGAAGAGGGGAAAAAATTGTTCTTAACCTGCCATGATTAAGACAAGAAGCAATGGGCTTAAATTGCAGCAAAGGAGGTTTAGGTTGGACATTGGGAAAAGCTTCCAAAATGTCAGGGCAATTAGGCACTGGAATAAATTGACTAAGGAGGTGGTTACCCAGAGTGGTATGTAGCCATGGTAGTCTGTATCTGCAAAAATAACAAGGAGCTCTGTGGCACCTTAGGGCATGTCTACACTAGGAAATTATTTCCAAATAACTTACTTCAAAATAATAATTCCCGAAATAACTATTTCGAAATAGTGTGTCCACAGTACAGGGAAGCCTCAAAATTAGTCTGAGGCATGCTCCCTTAATGTGGATGTGCTACCTTGACTTAGAGTCCCAGGAAGCAGTAATTACTTTGAATGAGTCTGGGGAGTAGTTATTTCAAAATAGCAGCCATGGAGCATCCACTCTACTGTTATTTCAAAATAAGTCTTATTTCTTGTGGAAAGCAGAAATAACAAATCCGTTATTTTGAAAAAATGGGCTTAGTAGTGTGAACGCTGCTTGTTATTTCAAAGTAATTGCAGACCAGGACTTAAAGACTAGAAGATTTATTTGGGCATAAGCTTTGGTGAGTAAAATCTACTTCATCAGATGCATGACATTCACAAAAGCAAACTCTCATGATTTTTGTCTTGATTGTACTTAGTTCTGTCATGTTCCCACTCTGCTTACCAGATAACACTGGTGTGCTGGTTGTGGCATCTGATTTCTTGCAGAGAAGTTATAATGCGAAGATTACACACACTCCTCAATTCACATATACATCACATTAATAAGTTTCTACTTATGTTTGAGAAGAAATCTTTATTCAAATCCTATTTTTTCAAGCATTTGAAACTTAAAAATGATCTTTTGACTTAAAATTTCTCTTGTTTATTATGCAATGACATATTTGTTAATAGAAGCCTGTTTGAGTTCTGTTTCTGAGATTTAAATAAACACATTTTTACATGTCAAGAAGTCTGAGGTTTTGTTTTGCTTCATTTCAAGATTTCTAAGTTAATGAGGACATGTTCATCTTGTTTAAAAATCTTTTGTTTAGAAAGAATAAGCTTTAAGGGTATGTCTAGACTACAACACTATTTTGAAATAACTAGTGCTATTCCGAAATAACTTAGTCCGCGTCTACACATCAGTCAGTTATTTTGAAATAGTGTCAAAATAATGTCCAGCTGGAAGTCTTCTTACTCTGACTCCTGTAACCCTCATTGTACAAGGAATAAGGAAAGTTGGAGGAAGAGTGCTCTATTTCAAAATAAGTGCAGTGTAGATGCTCCCTGTTTCGAAATAAGATACCCAATTGGCGTAGCTCATTTGCGTAGCTTATTTCAAGGTAAGCTCTGCAGTGTAGATGCACTTAAGTGTTGCAAAACTTTATTGTACATATGCAATGTTAAATTTTAAATAGTAATGGAAATATGATTGTATAAATGCATGTCTTTTAGAATGTATTTTTTAATGGAGGAGGTTTGCATACACTTTTAAAAAATGTTGATTAGTTATATTTAAGAAAAAAAATGTATGCCTACAATTGGATGGGATTTTTGTTCTCAGGTACTCTAGAGGAACTTCATTAATTTCAGGGGAGTTCAGATACGCACTTCTGTGGCTGAGAACTCATTGTATTTTAGTTCTGAAAAATAACATTTCTTTGAGAAGTAATACATGTTGCTTTTTGACTGCCATAAACAACCATTTTCTTTGGTCATATGAAATAACCACTTTGCTTAACTTTTTATAGGGAGAAGTATCTAGCTGGCTAATACCAGGAGAAGGGTATACACCTGAACCAATGGAATATCATCACCTACATGAAATAGATGCTAAACTCCAAGAGGTACTCTCTAATGGAGATATCTCTGCAAGTCACAGCTCCTGCTCAAAAGTTCCAAGCCAAATTTATCAGGTACAGTAGTGCACAATGCTTATGAATTATAGATTTCTTTTTTGGAATATGTGTTGATGTAGGTAGAGAAGTGCACACTGCACTTATTATCAGGAAGTCTGAGTACTGTAACTTTAATTTTATTAAACACAAAATGGACTTCAGTTGCTCTTTGATAATGTGATGTTAGCATACTTGATGACAGTTTTATCTTTTAGGGACTAAAATTGAATTTCCATTTTTGTTTTTGAAGTTTCAGGCAGTTTCTCATGATCCATTGTTCAAATATGTGTCGTGAGAAAGAGTAACAAAGTAGTGAAAATAATACTCCTTTGAATGCTGGTAGTAATAAAAGATGTTAAAGTTCTTTCAGTTGGAAAAAAAGCATTGTTCAGATTTTGTGCATGGAAGAGTCGAAATTCTAAACAAAAGTTTAAACAAAAAACTCTTTGAGCTAAAGATGTGTGCAATTGTCTTCTTCCTTGAGGTTTATAGTTTTTTAAAATTGTATCAGATTTATTTTTACATTATCTCTGCATTATTTCTTTTTTTTGGCAACCTGTTTCTGACTTTTTGTATAATAGAAATGTTCCTCCAGCTGTGTAAGTGCAGAAGAAAGCTCTACATGATACTGATACTACTAGTAACAGATGTTTTAGAGTGTAAAGTAGCAACACTTTCTGATTGTTATTTTAATCATATTCATAAATATGGTTAATATACATTGGTTTTAGGCTTATTGGTGCAGTCTGCAAACACTATCCAATATGACACTCACAATCATGAGCAGTTGCCATGTGGTTTGATTTATTTTAGATCTGAGGGAAACCAGAACATTCCAGAGACACTTAACTACTTTCTTATTTATTGCAAGCTTTAAAGAGTTAATATAGTTGTTCAAGTTTTACAAGCCTCAAAAACAATTACTATACAATTTAAACTTTAAATACCATAAATTTTAAAGCAATTATTACAGCACAAAGCAATGCAAAAGCAATTAATAGAAGATCTACTATTGAAGATAGAAGATCATATAATAATTATGCCACTTACACTTCACTTGTATGCCACCTACAATACCAGGCAGGAGGTCGTGGTCCCTTTGATTCCCACCTGTCAATGGGAAGGGTGTATTTACTTCTAGTTGCAACGAGCAGAACCCGTGGGTCAGTCCTGCTAACTCCCTCCCATTGATTCTTCTTAATAAGCCCATTTTATAGCAAAGCGAGACTTGGTCATTTTAATAATATTTACAAATTGATTACATATTTTGTAAAATACCTAAAATGCCCAATACCCTTATTTGGGGTACATCCTGCTACTCAGGATGTTGCAAAGACTGTGTGTATAGTTAACAGTTTTATGTCTGTCTCTGAAATTTTTGCTTATCAGAAACAGAAGTACCAGTACAAGTTTGATTGTCATGTGTTCTTGACGTGATCTCGCTGTACCAGTTAATCTGCATTATTATGCATAACATTCCTGCCTCTCCGAGCATCCCTCTCAAGCCTTGCCTGCGGGCTTACGTGCACCAGACTTGAGACAGGCCTGGGTTTTGCTTGTTAGAGATCCGCAGTGTGGTCAAGGCAGACATTATTATTTCAGTCAAGGCAGGGCCATCCAGGCTCCCCTACAGTGGTACAGTTGAAGTTAGTTGAATTATTCATTATATAGATTATAACTTAAGTTTTTTAGTTGACTTGACCAAAAAACAAAGCAAAAACCAACCCCCCATTTAAATTGCTGAGTGTGTATATATATTTTTAGAAAGATTTAAAACATTACTTTTTAGGCATGTTGTAAAAAACTAAAGAAATCTAGAGTTTATGTGTTCCGTAAACAAATATTCTGCACTACTAATTACAAATTGATCATACATGTGCAGTTTTGAAATATATAAAGGTGGCTTCTAATTTAGGAAATTATTTTCAGGATTCTGTATATCTTTGTTTTTATATAAATATTCTTTCAAATGAGAAAGGTATATTAACAATTAAACTCTTTAAAATGGGGGTGGGGAACCTTTTTTGGGTCAGGGCCACTGACCCATAGAAAAATCAATCACGGCTGCACACAAGTGAGGAACAAACAAAAAGCAACCACCAGCATGGGCTCTGAGCCTCAGGGGCCAGATCCAGGCAAGCCGGGGCATGCAGCTCCCCCAGCCTTAGGTTCCCCACCCCTGCTTTAAAAGTCTCGCATTTTTTATAATACTTAAGTTTGGTGATAGGTTTTATCTAACCTTTGTGTTAACCAAGTGGTTCCCAGATAATTGTTCTCAAACAGTAATTATTGTATAGATATAAAATCATGAATTTACTCTTACTGCCTCACTCCTGAATGAAATCTTGATCTTCTGCAGCCTAACACCAACATAGTGCATTTTTCCAATCCTTTTAAAATGCCTATTTGACAGTAACTTTTTACTAAATAGATAAGGTCAACAAATAATCCCTATTACTTCAGAGCCCTAGGGAGCCTTTCCACAACTACAGAAGAGAGCTGGAAAAGCCATCTTCATGGAGGGTTTTAATTATTGTGTGGGCTTCAGTATAAAACTGACCCAAGAAAACTTCAGGACATGGGTTCTCAAACTGGGGGGCATGCCAAGAAATTCCAGGGGGGGCACGACCCAGCCTCTCCCCTCCATCAAGTTTTGCTACCCTGGTCAGTTCCCTCCCCCCCCCCCTTTTTCCCCCTTAAGTTTTGCTGCTTTTTTTTTGGGAGGCGGGGGGGGAGGGTTTTTAAAAATCAATCGAAAAGGGGGCGTGAAGCCGAAAAGTTTGGGAACCGCTGCTTCAGGAGTATTCTGTGAAGAGCACAAAGACTGAGAGAAAGCTTTTGTGCTATCTTTCCTTCTCTCCCCAAAGTCCTGTGACAAGGGCAAGATTTTGTAACTTTTTCTTTTACCATAGTTCTAAAATCCATGCTTTTTGATCTGCCAAAGCCTCATCATCTCCTGTTTCAATTATAGTAAATTTCCGATAATCCGGCACCTTTAGGACCCAGGGGTTGCTGGATTATCAGATATGCCGGACTATCAGAAGGGGGGGCTATGAAGGGTCTGGAGTGGGGTGGGACGGGATGCCACAGTCCTCCCTTCCGATAGTCTGGCATATTTGATAATCCGGCACCCCCTGGGTCCTAAAGGTGCCGGATTATCAGAAGTTTACTGTAAATAGTTATCCATACCACAAACTCTCTGCCATACCTATTGCGTTTTTGATTTTATCTCTCTATTTCTTTGTCCTAAGCTCTTGAAAATCTTCCCCCTCCTTTTCTGCAACCTAGTAGCTCTGGTCTAGACTCTGCCAGTTTTTAAAATAGACCTAATGGAAATTAATGAAGATGGAAAAGTGCAAAATTTATTGCAACTTATTTCAAAACTCCATGGTGTAGTCTGTGGTTGCAACAATAAAGAGATTTATTCCTGGTTATTATTTGAACAAAGGTATTATTAAATGTTCTCTGCCTTTTTTACTTAGGCTTAAAAGGAGTCAGTCTACCACATTTAACCCGGATGATATGTCTGAAGCAGAATTCAAAAGAGGAGGGACAAACTTCCGGGTTCCCGATGGTGCTGGAACATAAGGGCTACGTCTACACTGGCCCCTTTTCCGAAAGGGGCATGTTAATTTCACAGGTCGTAATAGGGAAATCCGCGGGGGATTTAAATATCCCCCGCGGCATTTAAATAAAAATGTCCGCCGCTTTTTTCCGGCTTTTAGAAAAGGGGCCAGTGTAGACGAGCCCCAGGAGTGCTGGAGCATTGGATGCCGGACCAATGGAGTTTTACTGTACTGTAATCTCTTCCTCTTGGATATTTTAGTGTGAACCTCTGCTCCTCCTGTTGTTCAAATTGCTGCTTCCAAAAGCCTTTCTTATCTGTTGTTTCAAGATGTTGTCTCCTCTGAGTCACTCCACTGCAACTCAGACTACTTGTTCTTGCCTTCAAGGCCTTATCCCATATTCTCTCTTTATATTACAGTGTTGGTCTTCTTTTACTTTTCCTCTGCTTCATCAGTGATTTCAGCCTATGTCCTTTATTCAGTTCTATCACAGAAACTCCCTCCTGTCCTGTATTCCTGGAATGCTTTCTCCTGTTCTTCTTCGAGTGATTGCTCATGTCCATTCGAATCAGGTGTGCGCACTGCGTGCACCGCATCTTCCGGAGCGTTTTCCCTAGCGGTACCCGTAGCGTCCGCAGGGCGCCCCCTGGAGTGGTGCCACTATGGCGGAGCATAAGTACCCCTGCCAGTGCTCCCCCTCCTCAGCTCCTTTTGTTTCTCTGTTAGAGTAGTTAATGGTTCCCATTTCTCTTAGTGTTGTAGATAGTTGTAAATAGTTCAAATTAGTTAGATACTTAGCAGTTCTTTAGTTATTTGTTTTTCTCCTTTTTCCCCTTCGGGGGGTGAGGAATGCCTGGGCGCAAGGCTTTAAGGCTTGCACTGTATGTGCTAAATTCATGCCCAAGGGAGACCCTCATGATAGCTGTTTAAAGTGTTTGGGTGAGGGTCACCTAGCCGACGCTTGTAAGATCTGCAGGTCGTTCAAGCTGCGCACGAAGAGGGAGCAGGACTCTCGTTTGAAGCTTCTTCTCATGGAGGCGGCTTTACAGCTGGCACCGACTGGACATTCCACGGTGCACAGTGCGCTGGCGTCGACGCATGATGCGCCATCCCGTGCGCGGACTTCGGTACTGAGACCTCGGCACCGCTCTCACTCCCCGACGCCAAAGAAGTCAAGGTCTTCTCAGGGTAGGTCTCGGAGCCGGAAGTCCTGGTCTGGCCTATACCATCACCTCGAATCCCCGGTGCAGGCATCTCCGAGTGCTGCAGTGTGGTGTAAGAGAGCTGGACAACCATCAAGTCCAGGTCAGCTATCCTCGCATCGTCCTTCGATGTCAGACACTTTTGAGGCAGCGCAGGACCTGATTAGCCTCACTACCTCCCCTCCGTCGTCGGTTGAGGCGGAGAGGTCGAGGTCTTCGACGCTGGGAGCCATGTTGGCACCGGCTTCTC